CTAGTATATGATGAGGAGGTAATGCTTGCAAATCAAGGAGAAGTATTGGCAATTTGATAAAGTCTACATACAACTGTAGTTAAGGAAGAACTTTAGTTATGACATAATATTTTTTACACCCATTGCATGGCCCAAGGAAAAGTTTGTAATGTTATTATTGATAATGGAAGTTGTGAAAATGTAGTGTCTGACTATATAGTTGAGACATTAAAGTTGCCAACACAAGACCATCTGCATCCTTACAAGATTCATTGGCTTAATAAGGGAAATGAGGTAAAAGTTTCTAAACAATGCTTTATGACTTTTTCTATTAGGAATAGATATTGTGATGAAGTTTTTTTTGATGTTGTTCTCATAGTTGCATGCCACCTTCTTTTGGGGGAGACCATGGCATTATGATTGACATGCTATGCATAACAGGTATGCAAGAACCTATTCTTTCATGAAGGATAGTGTTAAGTTCACATTAGTGCCTCTACCACCTAATGAGATTAGTCAATCTTCAAGGGAATATAAGACATTGGTGTCTTTAATGGTTAAGGAGGAATTCAAGGTGACGAAGTCTAAAGCCCAAATGATGAGCTCCATACTAGTTCTTGAGATGAATGATGAGTCTACCAATCCACCAAGAGTCATTCCTTTATTGTTTGAATTTTTAGATGTGATATCTAATGAGATATCGCTGGGGTTGCTACCTAAGCGAGACATACAGCACGTCATTGACTTTGTTCCTAGAGTAGTCATTCTTAACAAGCCTGCCTACAGGATGAGTCCTTAGGAACATGCTGAAGTCCAATAGCAAGTTGAAGAGCTGTTAAAGAAAGTGTTAGTTTGAGAAAGTATATGCCCTTATGCTGTACATGTTCTTCTAATACCTAAGAAGGATGGAAGTTATAGAATGTGCATTGATTGCTGAGATATCAACAAGATCACTATTAAGTATCAATTTTTGATATCCCAGCTCAATGATATGCTAGACCAGTTGCATGATGCCACTACCTTTTTCAAAACTAACCTTTGTAAGGAATACCACCAAATCAAAATCTGGCCAGTAGATTATGGAAGACTGCTTTCAAGACCAGAGATGGCTTGTATAAATGGGATGTGATGCCTTTTGGATTAACAAATGCCCCTAGCACATTTATGTGCTTGATGAATTAGGTATTGAGACCCTTTGTTTGTAAATTTATTGTTATGTACTTTAACAACATACTTATTTACAGCAAGAGTCAGGAAGAACACTCAGAACACTTATAGCAAGTCTTGCAAGGCTTGTGGGAACAAAAGCTTTATGCTAATCTCAAGAAGTATGCCTTCCTCACCAATGAAGTTTTGCTCTTGGGTTACATCATTACTGCAGAGGGTGTTTGAGTTGATCCAATTGACAGTTAGCTAAATCCAAAATCTATCCAGGAGGTTCAAAGCTTCCACGGATTAGCTTTTTTCTATTAGAGGTTCATCTACAATTTTATCTCTATTGTTGCACCACTTATAGATTGTGCCAAAGAAGGTAAATTTTAGTAGACAAAACTTGCTCAGAAAATTTTGAGGACCTTAAAAAGAAGTTGATCGAAACTCCAGTCCTGAGCCAGGAAGGACATCCCATTACCTTTTTCAGTGAGAAGCTCAATGATGATAAGCTTTGGCATTCTACCTATGACAAAAAAATTTACACTGTTATTTGTGTTCTCTAACATTGGAGTCATTATCTACAAAACAAAGAGTTCATACTCTTTTCTAATCATGAGGCTCTTAAGTATTTAAATTCTCAGTAGAAGATCAGCTGCAAGCATGCATATTAGAGTAAAATCTTGTAGTCTTATCCATTCCTTATTAAGCAAAAGGCTAGAACTTTAAACTCCATAGCTGATGCTCTTAGCCATCAATATATGTTGCTCACAACAATGCAAACCAAAGTTATTGGGTTTGACCTTGTTAAAGAGCTATATTAGGATGATCTTGATTTCTATGGAGCATAAGAAGCGACTAAAGAACAACCTTTCTACTAGTACTACATGCATAAAGGGTTCTTATTTCGTAGGATGACCTTATGTATTTCCCAGTGTTCATTACAGGAAGCAATAATTTGGGAAGCGCATGATGGTGGATTAGCTAAACATTTTAGATAGGATAAAATAGTTGACCTAATGAAGGAGAGCTTTTACTAGCCTCGATTTGAACGGGATGTTAACAAGCATATACAAAGACGTAGAATTTGCTACTTGGCCAAGTCTAAGGGTCAAAATACCAGGTTGTAGATGCCTTTACCAATTTTAAAAGCACCTTAGGAAGATATGAGTATGGATTTTATTTTAGGTTTACCATGAACTCAAAGGCAAAAAGATTCTATCATGGTAGTTGTGAATCATTTCTCAAAAATGGCCCATTTCATTCCATTTCAAAAGGCTAATGAATGTTGTTCAAGTAACAGCTTTATACTTTAAAGAGATTGTTCATCTTCATGACATTCTTAAGACTATCAGTTCTGATTGTGATGTGAAGTTTTTTAGCTACTTTTAGTAGACGCTATGGAAAAATATAGGAATTAAGCTCTAGTTTAGAAAACCTAATCATCCCCTGACAGATGGTCAAACTGAAGCTATAAATAGGATTCTTTATAATCTTCTTCACAGCTTCATAGGAAAGAATTTGAGGTAGTGGGACCTCATTCTTGCTCAAGTTGAATTTGTCTACAATAACTCTATCAACCAAGCAACTAGGAAGTGTCTGTTTAAAGTTATTTATGGCACTCATCCCCTTAGTCTGCTAGACTTGATCCCTTTTCTAGATAAGTAGCAATATAGTTCTAATGCTGACCAAAGGGCTAAGGAAATCAAGAAGTTACATGAACTAGTTTGCGAACGAATGTAGAAGTAGAACTTGAGATACAAACTCAACATGACAAGCATTAGAAGAATAAAACTTTTAATGTGGGAGACTTGGTTTGGATACATTTACAAAAGGAAAAATTTCCTAAACAACCAAACACCAAGCTATCCCTAAAAGCTGATAGTCCATTCAAGATGGTGCAAAAGATTAATAACAATGCTTATAAGGTGGAATTACTTGGTCTTCATGGAGTGTCTGCCACCTTCAATGTTGCTGATATATCCCCTTACATTGATGATGATGTCAAATTTGACTTGAGAACAAGTTCCATCAAACTCAGGGAGGATGAAATAGAAACAAGAGTTGTAGAAATGGAAGCATGAATGTTGCATTCACATCTTAGAAACGTCACAAGTTAATAGCATTCAAAATCCATTTGTAACTTGTGTAACCTCTATTTTAATCCTACTATTTTTGTTTGGCCATAGCAATAGGGCACAGTTTTTAGTATAATGAAACAAATCTTCAAAGAATAAAACGAGAGTTCTTTCATTTGGTTTTTGAGCCAATAGGACTCATTTTAAATATTATCATGTCCTCCATAACTAGTTGAAATTTTGTGGCCAAAATTGAAGTATATAGGTCATAAACTATCACCCAATCAACTATGACTCAAAACTAGATAGTGATAAACTTGTGCTTGCAGTTCATGGATTTGGGTTTGAAACTAGAACATGCCATTAAACACTTCAATTTCAGCCTTTAATATACACGTGCATCAACATTAAATAGCATTTTCTAAGGTCCCAAAACATCAAGCAAGTCCAAAAGACAAGCTAGAATTTTGTCCAACATACACACACCCAAATTCAAACACGAAATCTCTTATCTTGAAGCTTTCTACCATGATCATCAACATGCAAGGGCAAAATCAACCAAAACTCAAGCATTTGTTCCCCTAAACACATTTATAATTTTTGTCCAAGGAGAGAAGAGGAAGATCAAGTCATTATATCTTACATGCAATGCAAGATTCTAAGTGAGAATGATGGAAAACCAATGAAAATACTTGATTATAACCTTTGTTTCTTGCTCTTGATCCTTAAGCTCTCTAAACTTTAGATTTCTCTCTCTCTCTCTCTCTCTCTGGATGCTGGATGAAATGTAGAAATGATGATGATAAATGAAGACTCCTCTTCAAATAGAGGAATAATGATGGCACTCTTGTAATTATGTGTTTGCTTGGTGACCTTTTTCTCAACCATTTTCTCGCTTATATTTCATTTAATTCAAAATTAAAATTTTAAATCATCTACTCACATCAAATGACAAGTGGCATATTGTATGTGAAAGTGTGTGGTCCTACTGACTTGTTAACACTTTCTTTAGTAATACTCGATAGCATATTTTCTTCTTTCTCGGGAATTGTATTTGTCTTATGTATGTTTAGGCACGTACTTTTATAAAATATTATTCGGATATTTTTCTCAAATAGACTACTTGGCTGGGCTACTGCTCAAACATAAGCTAGACTTGCCTTCATGAGTATTGACACTTCTTGTAAAGCGTGCAGTTACCTGCAGCTTTCCTTAAGACATAAAATACCCTTATTGGACATCATAGTGTCGTACTCTAATGCTAGAAATACAGATGTTACACTTCCTTCTCAAAGAATATCCAAACTAGAAATGAATACACTTTCGGTAGAAATTACTTTTAATTAATTATTCAACATAGCACATCAAATTGAAACGGAGAGTTAGATGCTTCAATTGCTACCTAAATGATTGAGAGTTGTAACCCTCCAATAATAAGTAGCCTCACGATAATTATCCTTTAACTTTTGTAACTTTTTTTTCCTTTTAAGTCTTTGTCAGTATGAGCTCAATGCCAAGCTACTATAAATAGGCTCCAGTGTGACATTTTGAGGCAAGCAAAAAATAAGCAGAATATTTCTATTCAAGTGAGAGTCTTTCTCTTGAGTTCTATACCACAAATATTGGCTAAATTATCTAAAAAGATTTAGTTTGGAATGGTGTCTGAGAAGCCTTTATAGAATAAAAGCATAAGATTTTAATTTAGAACAATAATACTTCCGATTTTTTTTTCGATATATCAAACTGTCTAATAAACAATATAACACATTAACATATGCCATGCACACACACAAATACACATAATTTTTGGCAAATTAAATGCTTAAATACGTGAGACATTCACCGATTTGATTTGCTCTAATTTGTCCAAACCCAGGCCAAAACAAAAAAAAAAAAATTGTCCAAACCTAACCTTCAATTCCTCATCATTTGGTCCTCATGGCTGATTAAATTTTCTTTCGGCAGACTCCTTCCAATAATGTCTTCATGATCTAGCTAATTAAAGAGAGAGATAAAGAAAGCTAAGTGGTGGGATCCACATATGACACAGTTGTTCTAGTATCCATGTTCTGGAGGTTAATTACTTGTCATCTTGGTGTGAGGTGAGACACTGTCATCTCATTAACAGAAGCATCGTTGAAAGTTCTAGAAGTAGATGACTGATCTTCCAGGGACTTTCTTCTTGAAAAAGCAGGAGGATTAGGATTCGGTAATGTCATTGTGTCACTTGCAAGCATGAGTACGACAGTAGACATAATTGGTCTATCATCTGGATCTTCTTGAACACAAAGTAAACCAATGTGTACGCACTTCAAAACTTCATTTTCTATATATGAATCTTCTAACACCGGGTCCATCAATTCCAAACATTTTCCTTTGCACCACAAATTCCAAGTCTGCAAGAAATTGCAAATTAGATTTTCAATTTGAAATGATGAATGCTGTCTTAATATTAAAATTTCATGATTATGACATTAGTTAGTTTGAAATTAAAGAACTTACATAAATTAGAAGACTTTGGCCATGCTCAGAGAGATAGAAACTGCAAATCTTTTTTCCACATATGATTTCTAGCAAAAGAACTCCAAAACTAAAAGCATCTGATTTCACTGAAAATAATCCTTCCATAGCATACTCTGGAGCCATATAACCACTGCTTTGAATCAACTCAGTTAGAACTTTCAGTTATCCATGAGGTGACATTTTCTAAATAATTTAAATATTAAATTTCAAGTACAAAGAAAAAGAAAAAGGAACTTTAGCTTAAACTTACTAAGTACCAATCACTCGTTTTGTATTTCCTTCATTTTGGGCTCCTTCAAAGGTCCTTGCCAATCCAAAATCTGATATTTTAGGATTCATTTTATTGTCCAAAAGGACGTTGCTAGCTTTCAAATCTCTATGAACCACTCTTAGTCGAGAGTCTTCATGAAGATACAAAAGTCCTTTTGCAATCCCATTGATAATATTTAATCTTTGATTCCAATCTAATTTCTTCCTCTTTTCTTCACCTGGCAATATTTTTTCCAGGAAAAGATTTATTGATGTGAATAGATAAAGTAAAGAACAAGATTTCTTAGTTGTTCTCCTTAATAGCTACTGAAACGACAGAATTTGTTACTACAATTTGTTGATAGTCTAAATTTGGTAATGAAAAAGTTTCCTTCTAAGAAACAAGGATCGATATTGAAAATAATAAGCAACCATGGGTGTCTATATGTATAGATTTATACCACATATGAAGATATAGAAGACACAAATTTAGGCAAACAGAGGCACTGAAATAGGGAAGGAAATCTCAAAGCTAATGGGCAAACAATCCTATCTAAGTGATAAGTAGAGGATGAATCATCAGATTGAAGATCAATGAGTCTGACTTTGATACCAGGCAAGGAATAAGAGAGAAAAAAGAAGTGTGATGAGGAGAAAAACATGAAATGTTTACGGTTGATTTTGAGACTCATGAAAAGAGATCATTGCAGCAAAAGACATTGAATGCTCGTGAATAAATAATGTCCTACTAATCATAGCTGTAACCTACCAACTCTGATTAAGACACATTTATAAACAAGCTTGTATCTGCTAGTGCTCTAACATAACACTCATGGTCATGTTAGCATGCTAAATTATATCACTCACGACAAACACTAATTTTGAGACATATAATGAGACAAAACATAAAAATCAAACAGCGAAAGAAAGAGCTTAGAAAACATACTGAAAAGGTGGAAGTCAAGGCTAGAATTTGGCATGTATTCATATACAAGTAGCTTCTCATTTTTCTCTATGCAACAACCCAAGAGCCTAACAAGGTTTCTATGTTGCAACTTTGCTATGAATATCACTTCATTCTTGAACTCCTTTGAACCTTGACCTGATGCTTTTGAGAGTCTTTTAACCGCAATTTCCTTCCCATCTGGCAATGTTCCCTAATGAAGAGATTGATAATTAAGAAATCTAGGAAAATAAAAGATATCATATGTTACGAATATGTTAAAAAGGTTAATTATATGATAAGAGGAAATATTATGTGTATACCAAATCGAAAGAGTTATAGTTGCTATCAGGCTATCAACCCTTGCTTGATTAAGAGCCAAATATAAGCCCAAATAGAATGGGGCTTTATCAAAACATAGAGAAGTCTGGGCCCCTATCCACAATAAAACTGAGCCCATAAGTGTTATATTCCCATTGTCATTTTTGAAATTGGGAGGGAACAGTTTTGCAACCATGACTGAGCAGTTGTACGTGGCAGTTATATATGTGAGTGCAGGGCAGGCGCATGAAAACTAATCGATTCTCCGCATATTCTCCTGAACGAAAACTCCTGTAATTCTCTATTCCTCTCCTCTGTGTGTTTTCTGTGAGGGCAACGAACCGGGTTTGAATAATCCGTTCTTAGACCTGCTTGTATGACCAAGTTAATATGGTACACTTGCTCGAACTTCTATTAAAATTTGGCTTAATTTTGTTTTCGACCAACCATTCCAAAAGCAGCTCAATTTGATCAAGCCCAGTTCTATATATGGGCGAGGGTAAATAGCACGAAATAAAGGTTTCAATGTATATTCTTGCACCACAACTACTATAGTTTTGCATGTCAAGAACCTTTGAAAACTGTAGCAAGAACAACAAAATTTGTTGCTTAAAAGCATACGCAACAATTTTTTTTTTTTGGTTGAGCTGCCTTCTTTTTTTTCCAAAAAGAGTCAAAGGACATTTTAGCTCCTCATCACATGAGAGCATTTGGTATTTTAAATTATTTTGTGATGCAATAACCCTTTTTAACATTAAAAAATGGTGCAATTGGGCTTTGCTATTAAATAATCTAAGTTTGACTTACCTAGAAAAAGGACTTCAAAAATTATACCAAATGACCCTATAAAAAAAAATTTCTTGGGTCCTTGTCAATATTAATATTCTTATAGGGTAGTTATTTGTACTGCTATGTCATTTTATTAATGGTAGAGGTAACATTGAATTGTTTTTAATTGTTAAAGAAAAACATTACATCACAAAAAATTTTAGGACATCAAATATTCTTGCACCGGTTAGAATATGCCCTCTAACCCTTTCAAAAACTATTATTGCCCATACAATTAGAATATGCATCGGTTAATAACTAGGTACACCAAAACTGTCAGCTTTGTTAAGTCCCCCTCATTGACCACCACATCATAAAAATGCATTATCTTCATGAACTTATTAATTTTTGGAATAGTTTTATTCAAATTTTAATTTATTTCTTTTAGTTTAAAAATCATAATTCAATTCTTATAAAAAAATTATTTGGCCCTTAACCTTGAAGTTGTGCAAATCGTCAATTCCTCGTCATCACAAATTGTCTGTCCAATTTGGACTAAGATTAGGATGGTTGGGTCCTTTCGTATATATGATTGTTCAAATTGATTCTGTTTTCCTTGTAACCCGGAGTCTTTTAGCTTGCTCTTGGTCTTCTGTTCTATCAAAGTGCAAACCTGAACTAATTTAAAATCATGTGAATAATCAGGGCATTACACTAAGCCTATAGGCTTTGTGCACGAAAAACCTGTGCTCCAGAAAATTTTTCACCTAGTCTATTGAATCAACCAAGTGAATTTTGCACCTTTGAAATCCATATCTATAAATTGCCATTCATTTATAAGACTTGAAACAGTTTTCTCACTATACACATTGCCAATCTTCTCTTGCTATAATATTATGTCATTAAAGTTGCCCATGTAATAAATCCATGATCTAGCTAGATTACCTCTCCCTCACCACTATTCCTTTATTGTTCATTACAAGTATTGTAAACCGAAGTTACAAAGTTGGGAGTTTCCAATCTGTTGGAAGTCAATCTCATGTGAATGATGTTTTCAATTCCCAACTTTATTTCCACCCTTTAAGACTAACATAACACTTGTTTTGCAAACCACACTTTATTCTAATTTTCATCACTTTTTATCATAAACAGCACCAAAGAAGGCTTCCTATTCATACACACCTTCAGGTTCTTTATTGTCAAAGCCACCCCAAAAGCCTTGACAATGGGCTAGAAACTTCATGGCTCTTTGATAGCTGCTTTTGGCCAACGCTCAACCCCGCCTTATTGCAGCTAGTCATTTTATCTATTTAATTTCTTATAACTTAAAAAATAATCCAATGTTTAATAATATTCCTAAAACTCATGCAGTTGCATGTTGACTTATTTTTAAGCTTAAGGATACAAAAGTTCTAACTGGTGTGGAAAGTTCATCCCCACTTAAATTTATTTACAAAAATATTACCTATCACCTTGAAGGATTAATTATCCGCTTTTATTATATATCATATGTTCTGAAATTGTTAAAACAATAACACGTACGTAGTTGCCCATTTTGGCCAATATATTTCTTGATAGCATATCAATATCTTCAATATTAGCCTAAACTAAAATTGTATACAATTTTAATGACTCTACGTAAATTTAAACTAAAAAATCATATTAGAAATTAAATTAAACTTTTAGGAAAGAAACAAATAATGAAAGCAGTTGATAATCATAAAATATTAATTAGTACCTTATAAACAGTACCAAATCCACCTTCTCCCAATTTAGAATCTTCTGAGAAGTGATTAGTGCTCTGTTGAATCACATGCAGAGGGATTGTGGGAAGATCTGTGTTCAATGATCTCTCTCTTCGAGGAAAATCATAAAACATAGGAGCGCCTTCCAAGCGCGTTTGATCTACAAGACAAGTATATAAATTAATATTTGATCATATGACCATACATTCAGTTTTATACACGTGTGTGTGTGAAAAATTTGATAATGCATGTACAATTGCGTATATATGTGTTCAGCGTACGTAGTATGGGGGACAAATTAATGTGATGCAAAGACAGGAGACAAATTAAAGTAAATGGCTGTGGTAAATACCTTTTCTAGTCTTCCTCCGCCATAAGTAGACAGAAATGCTTAGTATAGGCACAGCCACTAATAAACTTACGCTTATGATCAAGAATTTGGACTTGCCAGCGCCATCATTGGCTGCAAAGTACTTTCACAAATTACCGTCAGATGTCAACACATATGGATGTTGATTGGTATTTAGAAGAGAGAAAAGTTGAAGAAAACCAAGGTTGGTTAGACTTAGAGTAGAAATATATTAAACCTGTAGTAGGATTTTGAGAAGAGGGTGACTGATAGAACATGTAATCGTTGTATTTGATTATACAACTTGGGGTCCCAACGTGCCATCCTTGCTTCTGCTCACAACACTGAGTAACGTTATTCATCAAAGCCTCCAAACATTGCCTGCAACTCTTTCTGTCAAGGTCTCTACTACATTGTACCAACGCATGCCTTCTTCTTCCACCTCCTAGATCAAACTCTCCCCATGCATTCAATTCCTTTGTCTTCTCCGTCGCTCGTCCCATCAGACTCCTTATGTAACTTTCTGCCTTCTTCCACTCCGTCGGATCCGACATCTTCGTCGTTCCCTCCATGGACCATAATGGGCTCATCATCACCTTTCCGAAGAAGTTCTCATTGGAGTATCGGACGATGCAGTAGCTGTACCTATATATATGTTGCAGCCAAATTACACGCACTTGCTCTAGGAATAGTCAAAGTGTACAGATTGCAATCCAATTATGTGAAGAAGAAATATGATATCCACCTGTGATTTGTTGCTTATCGATTTGTCATGCCATATGATTTATGATATTAGATCAATCCGGTACACCACATTATCCATGATCTATCCGATAAAATTGTACCAATTCAATTATATAAAAGGGAGAATTACAATCAAATTTCACATAAAGAAATTAATTACTATAAGGTTCATTGAGAACTAAACTAAACTGTATTGATAATTGGTTGTATTGTCAATGCAATTTAGTTTAGTTGTCAGTAAGCTCTATAGTAATTAATTTTTTTATATAAGACTTCAATGTAATTGTCTATAAATAAAATCTTACTACTTGAAAAGATAACAGAAATTACTTTCTTTTTTGTTGATAATCAAAATTACGAATTTCAAGAAAAATTCAACATGTTTTTTCCTTTTTCAAATGGTCCCTTGTAAAGTCAATGTTCACTTTTACTAGACACATTTATTTTATTAATTACAGTAATAATTTAATTCATTTTTTATTTTTTAGATATAATTATTATACTTAATTAACTTTTTTAAACTGTGCAAGTTAGTTATTTTCTCTTATATTTAGAAATAGAGAGAATATATGTCATTATTTTTAATGACTTTATTTTTATAACATGCTTATTTAATTTCTTGCATTTTTTCTACTATTATTAATGTTAAAATTAATTTATATTTAATACAATTTAAATGTTATGTTTTTATCCAATAGACCGTGGAAAAAATTAAATTATATGACACAACGCAGCAGAAGACATTGGATCAAAATAGAACATAGACGCCTCCTCGTGAGGATTAAATTGAAAAAATTTATGGACTAGTCGAATACAAAAATACAGCATTATAATACAAAAGCATGTTTTAGAATACATTATGATCAAAAATAGATAGTTATTATTCATAGGATTGCCTCCAATAGAAGGACATATGTTGGGAAAAAAAAAGTAGTTAATATCTAATCAATCTAAGCATGAAGAGGGATACTTTTGGAATAGATTATTCGGTCAAAATCATCAAAAGTTTTATTTATCATAAGCAAACTAGGTTATATACTCTCTTTTTATTTTTTTCCCATTTTCTCCTGTTGTTATATATATACTTCGGATTAAATTTGATTTGAGTATTAATTTTTATTATTGTATCTGAAAAATCTAAATAAATTTAACTTGGTTGTATTTAATATGATGAACAGCATAAAGAATAATAAGGAGTAGATAGATTCATCCCTGACCGCTATATTTTTTATTTTGAGGGGAGGGATAAACAGAAGAATAGAAAAATCATTCCCTAAATTTTCTTGCGATGGGATTCGCTCTAAAATTTTTAGTATAGTGCATGTATCATCTCGAGAAATATTTCTGTCTCAAAAAGCATTAAAACCAAACAACAAACATATGAAGATTATATACTCTCTAGATTATTGTTTTGAGTTCCTGAAATATACTTTCAAATCCAAAACAGAGGCGTTCTTCGTACATAATGTATAGATTGGTACCATATTGCGGCAGAAGGGTGATTGGGACAGCGTTGGAGAAGCTCTCTGGTGGCAGTGGAGACACAGAACTGGCAGAGGTAGCCGGGGTCATCGCCACGGCAGTCATAGAGGCCGTAGACGGTGTTGGTGGCGTTGCCGATGGCAGTGTGGTTGTAGCCTTTGTTGGTGGCAGCAGCATCGGTGGAGAGCAACGAAAGGAGCTGGTCAAGGTTGGCTTTGTATAAGTCACTAAGAGCTTGTGGGGCTTTGTTATGGCAGTCATCTCCAACGTAGTTTGATGCTAGACAAGTACTTGGTCTGATGAAAGTACAGATCATGACTATGAAGAAGGCAATCAGAAATCCAGGAGTGGGAATAAGGGGTTTTGATGATTCCATCATGGTCGGGTTACAAAGGCTATTTCAATTTTGGTACGTGTATGTATATATAGGAATATATTTAAATTGGTGATGAATGGGGGAAAATATTTAGAGGTCATTTTATGATTCGCAAGGTTTTGACTCTCTGGTATACGTCAGTGTTGTGTGGTGGAAAATTATGTTTGAATTGAGAGAGAGATAGAATATTGATTTATTTAGTTTAGTATTCATTTTTAATAAGGTCATTCAAATATAATTTAAGTGGATTAGATGGAGGTCTAGAATCTGAAAATTATGGACCAGTTGTTCTTATGCAATTATATTTATGTTTATCATGAAACGTTTTAAGATTCTAAACCCCCCCCCCCCCTTACATTTTTGAGTTCTATTTTAGTCCTAAATATGGGACACAAATGCAGTAGTTAATTCCCCCCCCCCCCCCCCCCAAAATACTAACACTCTCTCCGTTGCTCCAAGTTATAGTCCTAGACACGTTGGCTTTATTGTGGTAATTAATTTTATTAAATGACGGACAAAATTAAAAATTTAAATATTTTTACTCAAATTTAAGGATATTAATTATCAGTATTTAAGAACTGTGAAAATGACTAACTTTGCCCTATACTTAGAACTGGAGAGTGTATGTTAATTAAAACTTGATATCATGTAAAACAATAGTTAATAATTGAGTATTCATCCTTGATATAAGGTTAATTTAACCAATTTCGTGCTAAAAAAACAGTAGTTATATCTGTAAAATTGTTTTAAAAAATATGTAACTTCACAATTTTGTCATTCTTTGCATTTAATAACCATATTAAATTATTGTCTAGGAATCAAACCATAATAAATAACTAAGGGATAAAATTAGAAAAAAAATCTAATTACTCTAACTTTACTTTATATTAATTAAGTAGGGAGGTAGAGCCAGTAATTCGGGCCAAGCCCGACAGGCTAGCCTGAATTGGCCTGAAAAATTTTAAGGTTGGGCTTAGAAAAAAATATGTTTTTTTATGTTCGGGCCTATTCGGGCCGGCCCGAATAGGCCTGAAAAAATTCGGGCCAAGCCCGATTAGGTTCAGGCTTGGCCCAAATACCTGAATAAAAAAATTATATTTTTTAAAAATATATAAAATATAATAAATATTAAATTAATTCTTTAAGTTTTAGATCATTTTATACTAAAATATCATATATTTGAGTCCTAGACATCGTTTAAGTATTAAAAATATATATTTTATATTTTTCATAAAATAAAATAATTAATTTCAAAGTAAAAAAATAATTAAAAATAATTTTAAAAATTAAATTCGGGTATTCGGGCCGTCCGAAGCCCGAAGGAATTCAGGCCGGACTTAACTATTCGAGCTTTTCAAAAAGTCGGGCCTGTTCGGGCTCGGCCCGCCCGAATTCCCAGCTCTTGGGGAAAAGCTTTCAAATTTTGTCTTATATGAAAGATGAGAGGGAATATGTCCATTTTATTAACAAAATTTTCAAAATAATATATCCTGGATGAAGGTAATTAATTATATAATTGGTTAATGAATGAAATTAAATTTTATGTTATGATTCTTCTGTAAACAGCCTTCAAATTTATATATACTCTCTCTAAATCATAACATAAAGTGTTTTCTAGAAGTCTCACTTGATTTAAAATATATGGTATTAGATAGATTATATTATATATATATATATATATATATATATCCAATCATACCCTTACTTTCACTTAGGTAAGTAATGAGAGTATTTTGAATCTATCAAATATTATGTTGATTCAACTCAAGGGTATAATTGAAAAGATGTAAAAAATTTAAAAAAATTAAAATTTTAACTAATTTTTTTTTTGGGAATAGAAATGAGTTAAAATGATATATATTGTGACGCAGAGGGAGCATGTGACATACAAAAAAATAAAGTTTGTTTTCCATCCTCAATAGTTTCACCTAATTTTCAATTTATTCCCTACACACACGCTAATTGGCATTAATTCCATGTTGTGGTTTCAAAATATTAAATTAATGGTTGTCGTGCTCCTGCTTACTGAATTTATTACTGAATGTCTTCATCAGTAAAGAAAATGATAACGATGACAAGGCATGCTCATTCATTTTGTTTTGCATTAAAAAACGGAAACATCCCTAAGGCAATTTGGGGGACACAAGCTGGGAATGCATTAATTATTCCAAATAAACCGAAACAGCTGGAATCGTTATACCGCACATAAGATTCTTGTACACTACATCAACTGGGTATACATTAATAATTTACTACGCCTTTTATATTACTGGCACTTGAACATAATGCAAACCCATTTAGAACAACATCCTCTTTCTTAATTTATAAGAAAATTTTTTTTATAAAATTATACATACTAACAAAACTTATTAAATATATTTTACAAACTTTCTTTGAAAAAACATAAATATAAATTTTAAAAAAATACCCTCATTTAATATAGGCTTGTTTGTGAAACATAAATAGAGGGAACATATAATAAGGAAAGAGGGATAATACAGAAACCAATATAATCATCAGAACTTCATTTTTGTCAAAGTACATTATATTTTAGGATATCAAATTATCTTTAAAAATTTCTTATAAACTGGGACGAAAGAGAAATATTTTAAATGTTATTAATTTGACTTTGATTTTTATTAGTATTTTCTTCTATTTTATGTAGCACTTAAATGAAAATATTTTTCTTTTTTTTTTATGAAGCAGTATAAGGAATTTATTTATTACATTCTTACATTGTTTTGATATACTATTGGTATACATTATTATTTAAATTACCAAGGAATTGATACTTTTCCCTTGTGCTAGAGCATTAGACTTCCTTCATATGGGTTAAGGGAACGTTGCTTTTTATCGAAGACAAAAAAAAAAAAAGGTATTGTACTATTCCTTTGACTTCAAAAATATTTTCACATTTTAGTCCCTCATTGATTTACAATTTAACTTTTCAATTTTAAAGATAATTTTTTATGTAAATATTAAAATACCATTTCTATTAAAATGTCATTTTGAAAGTGTATATACACCTATGGCTAGGTGGTCTTCGTGTGGCAGAAGCTCCGGCGGACAATATAGTTTTATGAACATATCTTTTTTTTTTTTTTTTTTTTGTGGTCGTAGCGAACGCTTTCATTTCACACCTCTTTTTAAGCAATGTGGCTTTTAACAACTTTATATCGATATACATGACGTGCTCATTGATTGGTGATTTGACCGATTTCGATCCTGTACAAATGATTGTACATGGAAACAATCATTTCTCGGAGAATAACATCTCCTCCTCCTGGAGGGAAAAAACTATTAAAAAAGGTCTAATAGAATATGAAACTTCATAAAACCCAATACAATTGAAATTATGTTTCGACGTTTAAAAAAAAAAAACGCGCCCCTGATTTGTTGAAAATATGCCTTTCAAATGTTGAAAGTCCATCCAGTGGATGAATGGATTTGGTGTTATTGTAAAAGCATGAATATAGTAGTCACGCTAATTTAGATGTTCACTTGTAAATTTATAAGATGTTTATAGTTTGGTTTACAACAAAATTAAATGAATTATAAGTTGATACGAGAGATAGATGACAATCAATTCTAAACGTAATTGGCCAAAAAAAAAAAAACAAATTCTAAACGTACACTTATCAATTTCAGAACTTCTAGTTGATAATATTTTAGATAACTTGAATAAGGTAAATCAAAGGATAAAATGTTTAAATAAAATGATATAACAACTGGATATTTACTTATTAAAACCTGAACGGTTGTCAATATATGAGCATTTACATGATAATTTTCTATCAATGACAATGACATTATTAGAATTTACTCTTTCAATCCTTATTATAAGACACTTTTAATCGTTTCATGTATATTAAGAAATGTTAACATTTTTCTTGATATCATAAAAAAGTAATATATACTTTTATTTTTACTATTAGTTTTAAATAATAATACAACTATATTAAATACTTTTACGTTAATAAAAAAAAGAATAAAATTAAAAAAATAATTTAATTGTTGCAAAGTGTCCTATATTTTGAATCAAAAATTATTTATAAAAGATATGTTATAAATAGGATTTGAGGGAGTAAAAACTAAATGTTTGTAACTATTAAATATATATTAAAATTTGGATAAGTCATTATGATTATTTTATACAAAGAGAATCACATTTAGGGCTCCCACATGAGAAAAAAAAGGCAATGAAAGCCCATAATAATAGAAAGTTTAGCATAAACAACTAAATTGCTAAACCTTGTTTTTGTGCATTATTGAATCTTTTGTTATTCTAAGCCCTAACTGTCATTTTTTCTCATCGATAGCCTTGAATGCAATTCTCCTTATAATATACTATGTATGAGAAGTTGTCCAAAAAATTATTAAATAAATGTTTAGTTATAGACAAGTTAGTGTTCAAGTTTTAACAAGTAAATATTCGCTCGTTATATCCTTTGAAATACCCTATACAAATTATGTATGATATATATTAAGGATTAATGAGCAAATAGAACCTTGAATTATTGTTTAAAAATCACTTTAAACTCTGAACTCTTAAAATATGGAAAGTAAACTCTAAACTTTTAAATTCATAACAAAATAAACTTTGATGATTAACTTTTTGACACTTTTACTATTTGGGCAAGTACTGTCTAGGGTTTATTTTCCTACAAATTTAACCCTGACTGTTACAGTACTCACGTGGACAGTAATAGTATTAAAAAAATTAATGATCAAGGTTTATTTTGTTATGAATTTAAAAGTTTAAAATTTATTTTGTATATTTTAAAATTTTAAAATTTAGGATGATTTTTAAATAATAGTTCAAGGTCTTTTTTGTTCATTAACCCTATATATTATCAACTATAAGTTCTAATGTTCAAATGTGTTCATAACTACTTGTCATCTTTAGTATCACTTGTAATCCATATAACTTTTATGCAAATCAAATTATAAATATTTTATAAATTTACAAATATGTATCCTATATTAACATGACAACATTCATATTTTTATAACACAAAATCTAGTTATCCTAACTAGGGACTTCCAA